AAGGAATTCGTATGCCATGGAATACGATGCAGCAGTAAACCAGAAGGATCTCTTACCCTTCGAGACAGCATGGAAATAAGCCAGTCAGAGAAAGACAAGTATCACATGATCGCACTCATATGTGGAATCTAATGAACAAAATAAACTGACGAACAAAACAGATCCAGAGACACAGAAGCAGAGAACTGGCTGCGGAATTGCAGAGGGAAGGTGGGGGAGGTGGGGGAGGCCTGGGGTGGGGGTGGGGGTGGGGGTGGGGGCGGACTAGAAGGGGTCAATGGGGGAAAAAGGGGACATATGTAATACTTTCAACAATAAAGATTTAATTTTTTTTTAAAGTCAACTATGTATTCCATCACCAAAAGGATTTATTCAAGAAAAAGAAACTGGCCAGCATGGCTCAGTGGTTGAACATTGACCTATACACCAGGAGGTCACAGTTCAATTCCTGGTCAGGGCACATGCCTGGGTTGCAGGCTCGATCCTCAGTGTGGGGCATGCAGAAAGCAGCCGATCAATGATTCTCTCTCATCATTGATTTTCCATCTGTTTCTCCCTCTCCCTTCCTCTCTGAAATCTACCATATTTTTTTTAAATAATAAAAAGAAAAGATTGCAATCCAATACGTGCAGACATGGCCAGGCACGTGCATGAAGAACATCTACAGCTGTATAAGTACCACATGCTCACCAGCCGGGCCACCGGAGCAATCCTCCCACAGGCCCTTCTGATTTCTGTCCAGGTTAAGGTCTCTATTTTAATTTTATCACTGAAAACTGGTGGTATGGGGTGAGGCATGCAGCTCGCGGTGGGAATGCTGAATACTGTTACCTGGGAAAGGAGGAATAGATGGGGGAACTAGACAGGTGTCCCCTTGCTGAATTTCTTCTGTTGCTGCAGGGAAAGCAGTGCAGACTCACACCGAGGCTTGTCCTGTAACTGCCCACGTCAGTGCAGGGCGGGCTGGGTTTGTGTCCCCAGTCAGTGCAGTGGGTTTGGTATGTTATGCTAATCACAGAGTACAAGTCCTGTTCTTAGAGAAAAGCTTGAGCTACGTGCATAAATGTGTCTGCCGATGAAAATGAGTTCTTTAGGTATCAGAAGAAAGGAATTTCAAAGGGCGCATGGCTGGGAGCAGTTGAAGTGTAGTGACAAGATTTATTGGGGTGAAGGGAAATAACACACCCTTGGGATGTAGAGGGCAGGCACTCTCTAGTTGCAATTGCCCTGAGATCCCTGATAATCCTCTGTATGTAATTTCTTGGTTTGGGGGAACACACAGGCTTTCTTTCAAACTATCCAACCTACTTTTTTGGTTTTCCTGGACTTGTGCTGGATCCTCTTCCTAACCAATCCCTTTCCTGGACCTTCCAGGGTTCCACGCCCTTATTTAACCTGATTCTTTTTTTTTTGATATATTTTTTTATTGATTTCAGAGAGGAAGGGAGAGGAGAGAGAGATAGAAACATCAATGATGAGAGAGAATCATTTATCAGCTGCCTCCTACACGCTCCACACTGGGGATGGAGCTCGCCATCCAGGTTTATGTCCTAACCAGGAATCGAACCATGACCTCCTGGTTCATAGGTCGACGCTCAACCACTGAGCCATGCTGGCTGGGCCAAGTTGATTCTGTTCCCAGATTTTCCCAGGTTAGACTCTGCCCGTATGCTCCTACTGTGCATGCCCCAAAGTTCTGCTGCATCATCTAGTTTCCACCTGCACCATCTTGGTTTCTTCCTCTTCTTCTTTTTTTTAACCCTCACCCAAGGATATTTTTCCATTGATTTATAGAGAGTGTGGAAGAGAGAGAGGGAAAGACAGAGAGAAATATTGATGTGAGAGAAACACATCGATTGGTTGCCTTCTGCACATGCCCAGACCAGGGCCCAGGCTGAGGAGGAGCCTGCAATCAAAGTTCATGCCCTTGACTGGAATCAAACCCAGGACCCTTCAGTCCACAGGCCAATGCTCTATTCACTGAGGTAGGCTAGGGCTTTTTTTTTTTTTTCCTCCCACCATCTTGGTTTCTACTGGGCATGTGGCTAGCAAAGACATTTCCCCTGCTGTTTTTTTTGTTTTGTTTGTTTTCAAATATGTTTTTATTTATTTATTTATTTATTTATTTATTTATTTATTTTTAAAACATATTTTTATTTATTTCAGAAGAGGACAGGAGAGGCAGAGAGATGGAAACATCAATGATGAAAGAGAATCATTGATTGGCTTCCTCCTGCACACCCCACACTGGGGATTGAGCCTGCAACCCGGGCATGTGCCCCCTACCGGGAATGGAACAATGACCTCCTGGTTCGTAGGTCAATGCTCAACCACTGAGCCATGCCAGCCAGGCTTAAATATGTTTTTATTGATTTTAGAGAGGCGGCGGGGAGGGGGGGGCGGGGACATTGATGAGAGAGAAACATTGATTAGCTGCCTCCTGCAGGCGCCTATTGGGGATCGAGCCCACAACCCAGGCATGTGCCCTAACTGGGAATCGAACTGGTGACATGGGAGGATGCTCAGTCAACTGAGCCACACTGGCCAGGCTCCCCTGCTGTTTTTATTCCTCCTTCGGTTATCCGGTTATCACGGGTAATGACAAGTAGCAGATTCTACCTGCCCATTTAGGGGATTAAGTTCCTCAGTGGAGAATGAGGCTGTCACCTGGGGACCCTGTGAATGCTGTGGCTTCCTGGTGAATCAGGCTCAACGTCTAATTCAGCTCCCTAATGAATCAAGCTTAATGGTCAATTCCATTTGCTCTCTTCCTAACTAAGCAGCTACCTATGCTAATAGTTATACTAACCAAGTCCTATTTATTTTCATAGCCAGTGGAAATGCCATTTTGAGGATCTCCTAGAGCAGTGGTTCTCAACCTTGGCTGTACATTAGAATCACCTGGGAATCCTTTTAAAATCCTGATTTCCGGGCCTCATCTTCCAGAAATTCTGTTTCTTTGTTATGGGGTGGGGCCACAACATTAGTAACAAAGAAACAGAATTTCTGGAGGATGAGGCCCAGAAATCAGGATTTTAAAAAGATTCCCAGGTGATTCTAATGTGGCCAAGGTTGAGAACCACTGTCCTAGAGTTTCTGAAGCAGCCAGGATTTCATTATTTGTGCCTCTACTAAAAGCAGCAATGGCAACCTCAGATTGATCACTTATACATGCAAGCTCCGAGCACTAAGTGTCATCCATGAGTCAGCTCTTTAATTCTCCCTCAATCCTGTGAGGTTTATATTGTTATCTGACTTTCCTGATGAGGAACCTGAGGTTTAGGAGACATTGACTGGCTGCCTCCTGCATGCCCTCTACTGGGGATGGAAGCCACAAGGAAGGAATGTGCCCTGATCAGGAATAGAACCGGCAACCTCTTGGTGCACAGGATGACGCCCAACCAACTGAGCCACACTGGCCAGGGCTAAACCTGTAAATAATTTTTATATTTTATTTGAGCCAAACTGACAATTGGCAGAAAGTAAGATGCTCAAGATAAGTGACAGTTTGCAGTTCCTTTTATGCATTTGGAATTAAGGAGGGATTAAAGGAAGATTAAGTGAAGGTGGGAGAAAGCAAAGCCCCCGCTTTCTTTCAGGACAATTAACAAGATTACAGGACAATTAACAAGATTAGGCTCTCTTGAGGGTGGTTACATCTTGGAGGGGTACTGCTTCTGACGTTTCAAAGGTGTTAAACTGGATACACAAGAACAATGGGCAGGAATTTGTAACTTATTAAAGCACCCCTTTTTCGTCCGGTATCAAGATGTCCTTGTTGACATCTGCCAGATTCCTGTTCTGTTGCTTTACTTTGCCTTGTTCGTTATGATGTATCACACCTGAGAACAATAGTTGTTTAAGGTCAGGCTTTAACATTTCAAAGCCAAGAAGTCAGGAAAGGGTCACCATTTTTGAAGAAGTGACAAACTTGTTGTCAAACTTGTTTTTCTGTTCACCAGAGGTGGCATATGGGTGCTGATGGATAGGTCCACTAAGCAACGGGCTCAGACTCCCCTTCCTCTTTGAATCTGGGAAGCGAGAATCCCTAGCAAGAGGTGTTATATAAGTAAGTTCTTTGTCTGTTTGGGCTGTGTGGCTTATAAACAAGAGACATTTATTTCTCACAGTTCTAGAGGGTGGGAAGTCCAAGATCCAGGCAGCAGCTTGGTGAAGGACCCCTTCCTGGTTCATAGCCAGTGGCTTCTGGCTGTGTCCTTCATGGTAGACGGGGTGAGGGAGCACTGTGGAGGCTCATTTATGAAAACACTATCCCATTCATGATGGCTCCACCCTCATGACCTAATCACCTCCCCTCTAGGGCCCCACTTCCTGATGCCATTACATCAGGCTTTAGGATTTCAACATATGAATGGGAGGGGAGAGACCCTAGCAGTGAGTTCTCATCACTTTCTAAAGCAAGCATGTCAAACTCAAAGGCTAACACAGGCCACATAAACAAGGTTTAAGATTATGCGGGCCGCAAAAAAACAAAAGCTTCAATTTTCATAGAAACGTGGGTTTATTTCGATGGACATGCTGAATACAAAGGGCTGTAATAAATGAGTAATCGTTAACATAAAATAATAGAACATTTTAATAAAAATTAATTTTTCTTGAACATTAACTTACCAGACACTGAATAACTGCACAAATTAATAAGCGTAAAGCAAATAAACCTATTTTTCTTGTTCTCCAAAAGCGAAATATTTCCTGTTGCGCACACCACACAAGTCAGTCCAAGACTAAGATGTGGCAATCAGCTGCTAAAATATTCGCTGCTAGTATTAGTGGAGAGAAATGGTGCGCCTGCGCGTAAGGCGAGTAAGGGAAATGAATGCAACACGATTATAGTAATCAGTCGTTAGTGAACGTTGTAGTTCGTTATTATAATTATGTGTAATAGGATTTTGTAAAAATTAAGTTACGAAATTTTTATTAAAACGTTTCTTACCTACCGTTATATTGGCTGGGCTGCGAAAATATTCGTTGTGGGCCGCATGTGGCCCGAGGGCCACGAGTTTGACTTGCTTGTTCTAAAGGTTCCAGGGTGTGTGAAAGGTGGAGGGAGCGACTGAAGACAATGGAGTGGAGTGTGGTGCATTTTTTGCAGGGAATTGGATGGAATCCATTGAGAATTCCCAAGTTTATAGAATTGCAAGAGACAGGCTGCCATGCTTGCCTATGGATAGGAGCTGTGAACAGGACTGGGGCTGTGAGGCCCAGATTTGGAGGGCACCCTAATCCTACTCGCAAATGTTATATGTAGATACTTAGTAAATATGACCGGCAAGGAACAGGTTACTCAGCAGGTCTCTGTTCCCCTGTCTGTGAAATGGAGAGCATGAGACCCACTGTCCCAGACTGTGGAAAAGATCCAATGGGATGTGAGTGTAATCTTCCTGGCACCTAACAGGCACTTAGCGGATAGCAGCTGTTAGTCTTATCATTTTAATTTTACACAGATCCCTTTGCAGCGGTTCTCAACCTGTGGGTCGCGACCCCTTTGGGGGTCGAACGACCCTTTCACAGGGGTCGCCTAAGACCAACGGAAAACACATATATAATTACATATTGTTTCTGTGATTAATCACTATGCTTTAATTATGTTCAATTTGTAACAATGAAATTGGGGGTCACCACAACATGAGGGACTGTATTAAAGGGTCGCGGCATTAGGAAGGTTGAGAACCGCTGCTTTAGAGCTCGTTCAGATGATTGAACATGATAATAACTAACGAATGCTACCCTCAGCAGATGCAGATCTGTGGCTCCAGAGTGTACCCTGAGAAGTATCTCTAGGCTCCTGGCCCGATGTCTTGGCAGCGCCTTGATCTGAAGATGTCACCCCGGGTGCTGTGGGGCAGCCTCAGCCTGCTCCGCCTGGTGTGGTGTGTCCTTCCGCAGACAGGCTACGTGCACCCAGATGAGTTCTTCCAGTCACCGGAGGTCATGGCAGGTAAAGCGCCCATGTATGGCTGTGATACGTCACAGCAAAGTCTGGGTTGGAGCTGGTTGGATGTCCAGGGCGGGGGGACACAAGGCTGTGCAGATGAGCAGAAAACCAGTGAGCCCCTCTGGAGTAAGAACTTGCGAGTGGGGACCTCACATCTCCTTCCCGAGGGTGACGCTGACCTTCTGGATGATACTCGTGAAATGCCGGCCTCTTTGGTGTTTTCCTGTTTGGACCAACAGCAGAGGTCACTGAAAAGAAAAGCTGTTTTGTATTTCTCGGGGAAGGATTTGAGTTGGGCTTCTGCCGGGTTCTTGTTCCGGCATTAAGAAGGGTTCAGCAATCTGAAGAAGGGCTGTGTGTAACTTAATAAAGAGTCCAGAGATGAAGTGTAATTTTGAAAGGCATTTGGGGGTCAGAGGAGCCTAGCTTAAGAAACCAAGACCTCCTTGTGTCAGGACCCCATGCGTTTTATTAACACAATTTGTCCTGAGGCGAGGTGGAGATATACACTTCAAAGGGTAGGGTTTCGTATACAGAGTCCATTGTCAGATTGGAAGAATTAGCCTACAGCTGTTCAGGTGTTTGGCCAGTAGGAGGCAATAACATGTAGATTGAGATGCCCTGAGCTGTCTGGCAGCAAGCAATCAATTTAAGCATCCTTTTCAGGTTTGGGGAAATGTCCTTGCCACTCCAGATCCAGCCCTGCTGTCATGCTGGAATTGGCTTCCGGCAGGCTTCCTCAGTGCTTGGGAAAACTTACACAGAGAGGAAGGGAGGAGAGAGAGATAGAAACATCAATGATGAGAAAGAATTATTGATGGGATGCCTCCTGCACACCCCACACTGGGGATCCAGCCCAAAACCCAGCATGTGCCCTGACCAGGAATCAAACCATGACCTCCTGGTTCATTGGTCAACACCCAACCACTGTACCACACTGGCCAGGCTGTTGTTTTTAACCAAAAAAGTAGTTCTGGAATATTTCTCTCCACTCCCTTCTACTCCTGTCCCTGAACGGCAGTGGGACATTTCAGCATCTCATCCTTTAAGGATCATTCTCCCTCTAGGGATCATTTCCCCTCCTCAGCCTGGCCCAGTGAGAGTGGAGAACACAGAGCTCAGTCAGCATCTAGCAGCACTTGAGGATACACAGGTGCCCCCAGAAGCCTTTCTTTGTAAATGTGATCTGGTCCCTCTGCAAGTGCAAAGCCCTCTTCACAGGATGGAGAGCAAACCCCAGGCCAAACCAGCACCTGTTGTTTTGAGGGAAGCCATCGCACCCCTGAGCATGTTGCTCCCAACGCAGGTACCCTCTACCCAGTCCCCTGGGAAACTTTTCTTCTGTAGTTTTATATGAGGGCCGAGGGAACCCAGACCTGGATGCTCCATTGTTAGAATTTATCTACCAGGTGGTGTAGAGCACATCATGAAGATGGTTGCTAGGGACCGTAAGGGTTCTCAGATGCTGGGGGCACATGGCTTCCTCCTCTCGGTTCCATATGGCTGCTCGAGCTCCAGCCGTCAAGTCTAAAACCAAGTCTTTCCAGCCACTGATGGGCATGCCTGCTCTCTTCCAGGGCATTTTTGAAAGTCTCATACCATCTCCATCCCATCAGTCAGAATGTGTCACATGGCAACACCGAGCCTGCAAAGGAAGCTGAAAAATATAGCCTTCAAACCCGACCAAACATCCCACTGAAGAAGGGGGAGGGAGTGGATACTGGGGAGACTGTTTAGCTATTTCTGCCACGTGGCTCAACGCTGGATTTAACTTGAAAGGTCCAGTCTTCCTTTCCACACTTTTTAAAAAACCGGAGCCAGTGAAAAGCAGCCAGATTGAGCTGATCCTAGCTTTTCTGTTTCCCTTTTGACATAGAGAGAGAATGGCTAACAGGCTGGAGGAATAAGTAGGAGAAACAAAGAGCCCTAAACAAAACCAGCAATGTCGTCGAGCATGAGAAGCTGTGGGCCTGAGTTGAGGTGCAGAAATGAAGAGTTTGTTTCCTTCACCCCGCCCCTCAGCGCTCTGGGACACGGGGTGCAGGATCACAGGCCAGACTCAGGCAGCGAGTATTCTTTTAATGACACAAGTACTGCTTGAATATATTCTTCTTATGAAAAATTTAAATATCATAGACAAATCTAAAGTCACTTTTGACCATAGTCACATTGCTCATCCCCTTTCCCTTTCCCACACTGCCTACCCTGGAACACAGTCATAATTACAGAGACGGGTTTTTTATCTCACTTTGGAGACTTTAAACTCCGAGGAGAGGAATGGACCTCCCCCCTGATCCTCCCCATACACCTGTCAGGGCACATTGTCACCTCACATCTCAGGAATGGTTCCTTCCCAGGGGGGCCTCAGACGGCTGAACTCCCCTACATTCATTTCTAGTGCTGCATAACCAATCATCACAACCCCAGCAGCTTAAAACTGTCAGGCCACCGCTCTGTAAATTGGAAGTCCGGCATGGACTCTCTGCTCAGGGCATCACAGGGTTGAAATCAAAGTATGGCCGGGCCGAGTTCTTGTCTGGAAGCTCTGGGGGGAAATCTGCGTTCCAAGCTCATTCTTTATGTTGGAAGAATTTCGTTTATTTCAGCTATGGGACTAAAGCCCCCACTTCCTTGCTAAAAGTCAGCCAGGGGCTGATCTCGGCTCCTAGATCATGCCTTGCCAACGGCCCCCTCCATCTGAGACCGCAATGGTGCATCAAATCGTTCTAATGGTTTGAATCTCTGACGTCCTTTTCTGCTTTTAAAGGGCTCGTGTGATTATGTCAGGCCCATCTGCATTATCTCCCTGTCTGATGTTCTGCTGTCCCCCGGGACATAAACTAATCACAAGAGGAAAATCCATCATCTTCACAGTCCCAGGGTTGATCCGGGGAGTGTACGCTAGGGGGCTGGAAGATCCAGGTGGCCATCCTGAAGTGTTATTGTCGACCGTGTTCTCTGAGCTTGGGACTGGCTCACCCCCACTTCTCTCCGCAGAGGACATCCTGGACATCGAGGCCGCCCGGCCCTGGGAGTTTCATTCCAGCAGCGCCTGCCGCACGGTGGTCTTCCCGCTGCTGACCTCCGGCTTTGCCTTCTGGCTGCTCAAGATCTGGAAAGAACTGGGCCCGTGGTCTGGCCTGGTAAGTGGCTATGCGCTGCTGGTGGGGCCCCGGCTCCTCCTCACTGCCCTCTCCTTTGCCCTGGACGTGGCCATATACCACCTGGCCCCGCTGTGGAGGGCGGAGCGCTGGAACGCCCTGGTCTTGCTGTCTGGTTCCTATGTCACCCTGGTCTTCTACACAAGGACCTTCTCCAATGCCATCGAGGGACTGCTCTTTGCATGGCTGCTGGTACTGGTATCGCCCCGTGTAGCTCGGAGCCCCGCACCCGGGAAGCCTGCTCGAGGCTCGTGGTGGCACAGCTGGCTTCTTGGGACCATCCTGGCTGCCGGCTTCTTCAACCGGCCCACCTTTCTGGCCTTCGCTCTGGTTCCCGTGTTCCTCTGGGGCATTTGCGGAGCCACGAACTCTGCCTTCAAGTCACTGACCAAGGCAGCCCTGGGGCTCCTCCCAGGAGCGACCCTCACAGCAGCAGTGTTTGTGGCTGCGGACAGCTGGTATTTCTCCAGTCCGTTTACTAAAAGACCCAATACCCTTGTCCTGACACCTGCCAACTTCTTGCAGTACAACCTGGATCCTCAAAACC